TAGAGACAGGCCCAGGAGCAGCAACCTTTGCTTCGGCCCCATTTCCTTGTCACTCATGCAGGTGCCTGGGAAGCCTCAGGCCCTTCATTCACCCTGGAGGAGGAGCCAGTTTGTGTGGACGAGACCACCTGTTCATCCTCTGGGCAGAGGAGGGAGGATTATGCTAATTCTTCGAATTATGTTTCTCTCCTGGGCCTTCTTTCTCCTGCCCTCCTTTCTTCCCTTTTCCCTGAGCTGCTTCTCCCTGTGATGCGGATAGGATTGGCCAACCACAGGAGCAGGGAAGCCTAGTTGATAAAAGGCTGGCAGCTTGGCTTCCCATGAAGCAGGTTTTCATATACCGGGCAAGAAGCACAGAGGTCTCCTTCAGACGGGAGCTCGAGAGCTAATTTGTCTCTCATTAGCCTGTGGCTAATCTCTCACGTCAGGTGATGGAGCTGTGTTACCAACAACTTTCTTCCTTCTTCTCCTCCATACCTCTAAACTCAGAAGAACACAGACTGATAGAAGATGTATGCAGACCATTCCCGCTCAGGATATGCGTACAGATGATTTAATTCACTGATTCTTTACACTTCCAAAGTGGCTCCAATTAGAGGACTCGTGGTGCCTCACAGAGAGTCAAGGTATTTCATTCATCCTCGTGAGTTCCTGGGGTAGTTGAGCCAATCTAATTTTCTTAGCTTATAGGGGAGAAATTGAATCATGGTAGTTAAGGGGTTTGTGTATTGTCACTCCTATAACTAATTATTATTGCTGGCAGTTCCTAAAATTCATATTTGTCTAATTCCCTGATCTCATGATGAGCAAATAATTGATGAAACCAGGTCAGAATTTGTATTTAACCCCCTTACATTGCTCCTGCAAACATTTAAAGTGTGTCCATGTTTCATTTACTTTAAATACGAATTTTTAAATCACTGACATTAAGAGTTTGTCCTAATTCAGAAACGGTCAGGACATAAACACTCTCTCTCTATTTTTTATATGTAAAGGGTTCACTCATCAAAACAAAGGTTTGAAGGCCACCAGCCTATGTTAGATGTGAGAAAAAGCGGCTCCTCCAAGTTTGTGATCCTGGTTTCCTGATGAGGATATGTCTCTTTCAAATGAGCCTAAACAATATGCCTGACTCTTAAACACAATTTACAAAGTCTCAGGAAGAGGTGTTTTTAGTGCAAACTGCTTATATGGAGTGGCACTGATGTGCTAACCAAGTCAGGAGAAAAATGACTACTTAATGCATGGTATATGAAATAGTTTTATAATGAAGACAGACTGTCAAGTGGGCTGAAAGTGACATTTTGGGGGAGGGTTTATTGACCAGATGCTGTGAATCTGAGATCAATTAATTTCTCTTTGAAGTTTGCTCTTGGTCCAGATCTTCAATAAGAAGGTAGTTTCCAAATCACTGGTCTGTGAACACTGCTTGTGATTAATTACCCTTTTATAACCTTAGGAATCCTGTTCTTTGCTATATTTTGAATAACTCAGACTCCACAGGGAGTTGTATTTTGGCTGGTATATTTGGAACTGCTAATAAACACCTACTTCCTGTTTTTCTTACTACTGTGTATAGCAAATTGTAAAATGACTTGTATTGCCTTCTCTGTTGCTGGTGTGTTTAATCGGCCCTGATTTATGTCGTGGAATAACCTCCATCAAACAGTGTTTGCCAACAAAGTCCTCATGGTTTCAAAATGTAAGATACTGTATCTTACTACTGCAGTACAAACTGGAAGGATGATTGGAAAAAGTATTCCATTTCATCATCACAGAAAAATTGGAATTTTACTATCTTGAGTCCCAAATAACTTGGGAAGAAATTTAGATTATTTTTAGTTTTTTTACATACATTTTAAAATGCTTTAGTTTTATTCTTTTAAGAAGATGTGATAGGCAGAAAAGGTTTTCTGTTTTCCTTTTAGTTTTACACTTTCTTGCTAAAGTCTAAGCAGTGTATTAAGCAAACTACTTTTATTATTGTTACTTACATTTTTAATTTGCACAGTGCTTGCATTTTTTTGTTCTTTTTTTCTTGTCTTTCTTTTTCGGTACTGGGGATTGAACCCAGAGTCTGCACTGAGCTGCATCTTCTGTCCTTTTCTATTTTGAGAAAAAGTCTAGCTAAATTGCTAAATTGCTCAGGTTGGGCTTGAACTTACAGTCATCCTGCACCAGCCCCTCAGAATGCACAGATTACAGATGTGCACCACCATGGTCATGCCTGGCTCCAATTGTTTTCATGCTGACCTTTGGCTCACTAGCACTGGCCAGCTTCTGTTGTTGTGGGTTCATTCCCAAATCCAGGAAGCTGCCGGCTCAGGAGCGTTTGGAGTCCCACAAGGAAGAGGCACCTAGCAAGGACTTGCTCTAAGTCTAGCCCTTGCCTTGTGAGAGGTTACCAGCTTTGGCTGCCAAGCCCAGACAGTTACTGAGTGAATGAACAGACATTCATTCCTCTCCATTCACAGAAAAGTATGGAGGACTGATGAGCTATGGCTGCCCCGGAGTCTCTACTCTTTTCCCACCCCCACACTGAAGCTGTACCTCACATTCCTGGTGATGCATGAGGGAATGGAAGGTGTGAAAGCGATCTGGACTACTGCACAGTCTGTGAACGCGCCCCGCACTGACCCGGGAGCAGTGTTTCCCTGAGACCAGGGTGACCAGGAGTCTGTTTCAGATCCTGCCTTAGAGGATGTTGCTCAGGCCTTCTTCGCTTGTGCCCTGCAGTGGTTAGGGTTCTCCAAAGAAACAGGGCCAGTAGGATAGTGCTCCTTCACATAGCATGGAGCTCTGTATAAACCCACTGTAAGCTGAAAGTATTCAATTTAAAATGCATGCAATACCCCTAAGCTACTAAACACCATCGCTCAGGCTAGCCGACCTTCAGTATGCTCAGGACACTTAGCTTAGCCTACAGTTGGGCAAAGCCATCTAACATAAAGCCAAATGAAGTATTGAATATCTCATGCATTTTGTGAGTATGTACACTGTGGTGTGTCTGTTGTGTGCCTCTCATGTTGGGTAGTGGAGTGGGGGCTGTGGTTCCCTGCTAGCACCCAATGTGTAGAAAGACGATCTCATAACACATCGCTGGCCCACCGCTTTCCTCATTTGTCCTCCTGAGGGATGGGGGGAGCTTGCACACAATGGACAAGGTGTCCACACATGTGCGCCCCAGGTCTTCACATCCGGGATGGAGCCGAGATGGGAGCAGGATGGAGCAGCCCAGTGCGCCATGCTCCCATTTATTGTTGTGTCCTGGGCCGGAGATGCAGGACTCTCCTGAGTTTAACTCCTCTCCCCTCTTCCTGCTCCATCTCTGCGGCCTGCTTTGGCGCCCCTCCCTCGGCATCCTGAGTCTTCTCCGCCTCTCTGCAGGGGACCCTGAAGCTGTCCTCACTGATCTTCACTCCACACAGACTTCCATGTTCCGCTGCCTGCTTGTTTTCTCTCCCTGCCGGTCCCTTCAGCACCTCAACTGCGACACGTGTGGAAGAATAAAAACCAGAATCTCTCACAACCAGCTCCTGTTTTGGGGATCTTTGCTTGGGCTGAATGCATCCACCCCCGTCACTATCCAGGAAGCTGTATGCAGAACCAGTTGGGCTCTTCACTTTTCTCCACTGTCCCACGGAACTGATTCTGGATTAACTCACTTGAAATGCAAGGCGGAACGCAATGGTGCCAAGGCTCTCACTTGCCTGCCTTCCTTCAGGGCTGCTCACTGGAGCACCTTGGTAACTCCCTACTGCCCTTGCTCCTGGCCCTAGCTCCCTGCACATCTTCCTGCAGGGTGGAAGCGTTCACAGCATTTACCTGCCCCGCAGCCTGAATGCAGCTATTTGCTGACCCATTTGGTGCAAACCCTTTGGTTATGATGCATATGTCCTTCTCGATCCATTATGATCCATTAAGGCCTTTCCGAAAAACCTGTCTGGAATTTTAAACACTAGTGAATGTTCTCTCTTTTTCTTTTAATGCATAATCTTTCAGGTGGATAAGACTTGGAAATAATATTGCAAACAGTATGTATAGGTCACTCAGGTTATCAAACCCCAGCATCATGCCATATTTATTTCAGGCCTTTTTCCCCTCTAAATTCAAGAAACAAAACTTCAGTGAGTAGAGGCTCCTGGATACCCTATCCCCCCTTTTTTTTAACTTCCCCCTTTTCGGAGTTAACCCTTATTCCAGATTCACTACTTATCTTTACAACACACAAGTATCCCAAGTTATACTTTACTACTTTTCGGTTTTAGGAACTCAACATAAAAGTTATAATTTAGCAACTTATTTGATGTACATATCATTTTGCAGCCTTATTCATGTTTATTTAATGACTTTAACATATTCCACTGAATTTAGCCATTCATTTGTTCCAAAACTTACAAATTGCTCTTTGACAAGCACTTATCTCTAACCGTTCACTTTCACAAAACAATGTTGCTGTGAACACATTGTACTTGACCCCTCACACCCAAGTGTAGGAGTTGACTTAGCATTTGTACCTCACAGCACAATCTCAGTTTGGGCAATGCAAACATTTTAGCCTCCTTGCATTTTGCTAACTTGTTCTGTAAATTGTGCCCATTTCCATTTCTACCGGCAGGGTAGAAGATTCCTGCTTCTCCCCACTCTCATCTGAACCTGGGAATACCAGATTTACAGAATCTTGCCTGTATGATTTGTGTGAAGTTGGGTCTCATTGATGCTTTCATCTGCCTTTCTCTAACATGCAGTAGAGGAGACACATGAACCACAAGCATGGAAAGGGCTGCGAAACATCCTTGTTTGACATTTTAAAAGCAAAGACTTCTGCAAAAACAAGGTGCTACAAAGTGAAAAGACAAGGCACAGGAGCAGTCACGAGTCGAGGCCCGTAACGCATGTATTCCACAGTATATAAAAGAATTGTAAATTTTACGCGAGACAGCCTAATAGAATGCACAAATGTTCTAGTGAATACTCACAAGACAAAATCAATCACATACCTGGAGCTCAATCAGTTTTGTTGGTCGCTGAATGATTAGAATGCCTGGGCCAGGCAGATTGCTGTTGATGTCAGTGTTTGCGTTGGGTTCCCCGGGACACAGACCCTGCAACCGAGACTCGCGTGCAGATTGACCGTGAGGGGAGTAGTTTGCTGGGAAACAAGGACAGCAAAGTCAATTGGCAGCTCTGGTATTGGGGTGTCCCTGCAGGGTGCCTTGAACTGAGACAAAGGATCTGGGCCTCTGTGTCCTTACATCTCTTATTTTCCAAAGAAGGGAAGTGACCTTTGGCAGGGCAGGCGGATCCTCTGGCAGAAGAGACCGTCCAAGGACAGAGTCAGCTGTGCACCATCAGTAGCCTAACTCCTGGCAAGCAGTTGGAGCCCAGCAGGAGCTGGGTGGGGCTGACACAGCAACCTCTGCATTGGATACTAAGAGCCAGAGAATTGACCAAAGCACTGTGATTGGCAACACCAGTCCTGAGGTCTCTAGAGTCCAGATTTAGCCCAGCTCTACCATATCTCGCTGGGTAACCTTGGGCAAGTGAAGTATTCTTAGTCTCAGTCAAGATATTCTTTCAACAAATGTTTGTTGGGTGCTACCAAGGCCTATCTTGGGATTGTTGGGCTGGTTAAGTGAGTGAAAACCTAAAGAGCTTAATACAATTCCTGGCACAGATCGAATGCTTGCTAAAGAGTGCCTATTTATTATTGTTAACAACTGTGGGTAAAGGCAAGTATGGCTTTTGCTGTCAGTGCAGTACAGCAAGAAACTTCCCTGGAATGTGCTTCTGTGGCTTTCTCAGATAAATGGAATACTCATGAGGTTAGTGGGATTTCGAGCAGGATTATTCTTTCGTCTGAGCCAGTAAATGCCTTCGCTGTTTAATAAAACATTTCCTGGATTCACATTTAAAAATTAACTGACTTCCGACTCCTCAAAGCCAACTGTTATTTTTCTCTTTCTATTTGAAAACAGTTTACTTTCTATAACAAGGGGATAATCTCAGGCAAGAGAGACAAGACTGATGCCTTCTCTTTACTTTGACTCTACCGTGGCGAGTAGGTTTTGGTATTAGAAATTCCAATTGGGTAACCAGAGGGTAGCTCTCATTTGAGGGAGGCAAAGTACAAAGAAAAGATAGAGGATGGACAGAAAGGACGAGGGGATGGATCTCTTGCAATAGGGAAGGGGTCCAAGGGAACAGGGGAAGGGGTGAGGATGAGGGGAACTGAGAAGAACAAGATGTGCCACCTACAGGAGCCTGATGGCTCCAAGTAGGTAAACATTATAGGCCGTAACAGGAGCTAAGACAATGTCAAAAAGCAGGGAAAATGAGGTAAGGGACTGGAGAAGGAAGGAGGGCAGGGGAGGGAGGGCGATTAAAAAAAAAAAGAAAGAAAGAAGCTGTAATAGGTTCAGGTAGCCATTCCTCAGGGTGACCACAAAATACATGAACTGCAAACATGTACAAACAAAACCAAACATTTTTAAAAGGAAATTCTGACTGGGTAGAATCAAAGATATTAGAGGTAGAAGGGACCGTAGGTTTTTTTCTTTCCCTTTTCTGTTTTGCTTATTTGTAAATAACCTTCAGTGTTTGAAGAAGATATATTTTGAATTTTTAAAAAATGTATTTCTTTTTTAATGACTACGTATTTGTGACCCATAGCAATTACAACAGCATGGAGTTTGACACATGTCCTTCGCACTGTGATCATTTTCAGCCCCCCGCCCCCATCTCCCGAGACGTTCTTTGCCTTAGCATGGCTCTGTAGCTTGTCTTTTGGTTCTTTTATATTAGAGATACCATGGGATATTTAACCTTCATGACTGATTTATTTTATTTGGCATTATGATCCCAGGATCCATCAATTTTCCTACAAATGACTCAAAATTATCCTTCTTTATGAGTGAGCAGTACTCCACTGTGAATATGTACATTTTCTTTATCCACTCATCTGCTGATGGCCATGGAGAAGGCTTCTGTGATTTAGCAGTTGTGAATTGTGCTGCCGTAAATATCTGTGTGCACATACCACTATAATATGTTGCCTTTAACTCTGGTGGGAAGATATCTAAAGCAGAATAGCTGATTGGGATAGAACTTCTATTTTTAATTTTTTGAGGAGTTTCAGTACTAATTTTAATGATGGTTATGCAGATGTGTGCAGGATCAAATGCAAAGATCGGTGAGCTGCACTCCTTTCCTTTCGTTTCCTAGTCAACTTTCAACGACTTCAAGAGTCCATTCAGGTTTTCAGCTGCTAGGGGAGTTGAAGGTACAGGCCCCTAAGTATTTTGGCTGTGGGGATCCAGGCCGCTACTAGGGTGTTCTCCGCACCCCATGTACAAAGGCAACAAGTGACGTTAGTTGCGGGTGCCAATCTGGGAAAGGATTTTGGAGACGGAACAACGGTAAGTAATCACGTTGGCTGAGAAGGCACGGATTTGCCTGGCGAATGTCACCAGTGGCGTGGGACACGCCGGGGAAAGCCGCATGCTTTGGTGGTCCTTCTCTTGCATTGGAACTGCCGGGCCTGGCCAGTGCGTGGGGCCGGAGCCGTGGCCCATTCCTGGGGTGGCCCTGAATGCACTGGCACTGTGGTGTGTGGAAGAATTGTGCAGAGAGGGACACGGAGGACAGTGACGGGCACACGGGTTCCCATCACAGGAACAGGAAGCTCGGGAGCATTTTGGTTGGAGTTCAAGGACCCAGTGGGGACCCCCAGGACGCTAAGGGCCTTTTCCCCAAAATGAGATGGTCACGTGACTTATCTCCCTTCAGAGGTTCTATGCCATGGTATATTCTCTTTAAATTTTTTGATTGCCATTATTTTTCCATTTTTTTTTTTTTTTTACTAGTGCCTGTTTGCAGTACACAATGTTTGCATTCCACTGAGGGGGTTGGTACCTGTACATAGCACACCTTAATTCTTCTTATTCCCTTTCTTCTCCATCTTTTCCCTTTGCCTCCATCTCTAGATCTCTTTCCATTTTCAAAATATCTATTTTTCTGTTTCCTATTGTCTACCTTTTCTTTTAAAATTATTTACTCTTTGGGTTTCTCGTGTAAGAGAAGTTACATGATATTTACGCTTGAACGTCTGTTTGTTTCATGTAACACTATGATGACAAGGTGCATCCATTTTCCCACAAATGCCTTAAGTTTATACTTCTTTACGGCAGAGTAGTACTCCATGGGGATGTTGCTCAATGGTGTAATGCTTGTCTGGCAGGCATGAGTCCCTGAGTTCAATCCCTGGCGCCATAAACAAAACAAACAAAATGAATCAATAGCTTCATTACCATTCTGTAAGGATTTGGTAATATGCCAATTTAGAAATGCCAAATATAAAGATTGATGGTACTGCAAATTGTACACAATTGTTACATGGTAAGGCAATGATTTAAGAACATTCTAAAGATCATAAAGAAATACTAATATTATTTGGTCTGTCTGTACATAACACAGAGAGGCATGATGTTGTACACGATGTCGGGCTCAGTGGTCAGTGGTAAAGCTCTCCTATTGCTGTCTTGGTAAACAATGGGTATGGGATAGGTAAAGGGACGCAAGCTTTGGGATGACATCTGGGTGAGGATCTTAGATGTATGATCCTGGGAAATGCATGCAGCCTCCGCAGGCCCCAGTTTCCTTTTTGGTAAATGGGAGTAAAACCCACCTCACAGAGCTTAATAAGTACTAAGTGAAGTAACACAAATAGATGAACGAGAGTGCTAAAGGAATGACTCTCTTTTCCCTATGCGTGCTTTTCCTATGGATCAATTCATTTATTTATCTATCTCTTTCTTGATTGGTACTAGGGATTGAGCTCAGGGTTCTCTACCACTATGGCTTCAGTCCTTTCTATGTTTTATTTTGCATGTGTCTCACTAAGCACTAAGTTACCTAGGCTAGTCTCACATGTGTGATCTTCCTGCCTCAGCCTCCTGAGTAGCTGGGACTGACAGTGCATGCTGCTTCTGCAGCCAGGATACAAAGCCTTATTTTGATGCCTTTTCTCTCCTCCTTACAATTAAATTTGGTTTTGGATTTATTTGCTCTTCAGAGGAGGCACCGTGGAGTAGCAACAAGAACACCAGAGAAAACAGTCCCTCAGGAGTGGGCTGATTAACATCGCAATGGCCCCGGGGTAGAGTGCAGAGCTAGCCTTGGTCAGTACTCGGTGGTCCCAAAGCACTGCCTTCAAACGCTTTTTTAAAATTTCAAGTTTCACTTTAAAAGGGGTGATCGCATTACCCTTGAAGGAATTAAACCTTTCTTCAAAAAGTATCTCATGTCTGAAAGGGCACTGTGATTTGTGCCAGGGAATAGGATTAAGAACAGAAGCTTTATGTCTTGGGGAAGGAAATTTCACCTCCCTTTTATTTTATTTTTTGGGGATTTTTTGAGACAGGGTCTCACTATGTAGTTGAGACTGACCCGGAACTCACTATGTAGCCCAGGCTGGTCTCGAACTCACAGCGATCCTCCTGCCTGAGGCTCCCGAGTGCTGGAATTAAATCACCTCCCTTTTAGAAACTGTTCCACATTAGAAATGGGCATTTTTGTGAAGTATACCATAAGATGACACGATCTTGAATATTCTCCCCTTCTCTGAAATATTTCCCTACTTATATTCTATGTTGATTTCTAAGTTTTAGTTTTATTATCTTAAAGTTGTATCTGTGTATCTCTATCATCTATCTCTATCTATCTATTTATCTATCTGTATCATCTATCTATCTATCTATCTATCTATCTATCTATCTATCTATCTATCCCTATCATCTCTCTATCTCTATCATCTGTCTTTTTTTCTCTCATTGAGTTTATTGGTCCATTTTAGGTACACAGTGCAGTCACATTCATCATTGGGATCTTGTACTTTCACATGACACAGGTCCTGGTTCTCATTTTTCCCCTTGTCCCTGCCCTCCCTTCACCCCCTCCTCCCCTCCCCCTTTACAAACACTCCATTTCCATTTTTTCATTTCTTATATTTTTTTCTTTTCCCTTATTAGCTTTCGCTTACCCTTCCCAATTTCCCTACACCTTTAGCCCCTTTCTTCCTATTGCACACTGTCAATCAAACCATTAGGATCTTATGTACTATTATAGTTTTTCACACCAGAGAAACTATTCAGTATTTACACATGTGTGACTTATTTATTTCACTTAGGAGTATATCCTCAATATGTATCCATTTTCCTATGAATGAATCTAATTTCTCATTCTTTATGGCTGAGTAGTATTCCATTTTAATAGAAAAACCACATCTTCTTTATCCAGTTTCCAATTGATGGGCAAATGGGCTGTTTCCAAGTTTTAACTATCACAAACTGTGCTGCTATAAACATGGGTGCGCATATATCACTATGCTATGATTCTTTTAATTCTTTTGGAAAGATACCCAGCAGAGGGATGGCTGGGTCAAATGGAACCTCTAGTCCCAGCTCTTTGAAGTATCTCCATATTGATCTCCATAGTGGTTGCACCAGTCTGCACTCCCACCAACAATGGAGAAGGGTTCCTTTCTCCCCACAACCCCACCAGCATTTGTTATTGGTTGATTTCTTGATAGCAGCCATTCTTTGTGGGGTGAGGTGGAATCTCAGTGTTGTTTTCATCTGCATCTCTTGAATGACCAGTGACATGGAACATTTTTTCATATATTTACTTGCTGTTTTTACATCTTTGAGAAATGTCTGTTTATTTCAGGTGCCCATTTTTGAATTGGGTCTTTATATTTGGGGGGACTCATTGTTTTGAGTTCCTTTTTTTTTTTTTTTT